ATACAAAAACTATAAAGCTTACACAACAGATTGTAAAACAATTACTCAACGAAACAGAATCTTAATTCCATTCTTTGCATAGTCATTTACATGAATGACATCCTAGCAGTATACAATCACTGACAGTCTGACAGGCACATTTAAGGACATTTTACAAATGTCTTGACTATCAAATTAAATAGATTTATACCAAAAACAAAAACCTTTTTTTTATAGACGTGAATGTATGTAATTACAATACTTACAACAGGATATGAACTCTATTAAAGTGACTTAGACCATACCTATTGCGTAGTGTTGCGATAACGTCTATGTGAAAGTAAACTATATAATTTTATTACAGATAATTATAATCAGAAACGATTTCTTTGATGTAAGACTGCTATCAATAGCAGCACACTGTGGTTAGTTATTTTTGTAACATTGTATTGTTTTCTGAACTAACCACGTTTTAAAAAAATAACTTTTTATCTACAACTCATCTACCAATCAAAATTGATACAAAGTAAAATGTTATTAAATAAATAAATATTTTTTTACAAATTCGTAGTTTAAGATAGTCATAGAATAGACTGAAAAATACCATTCGTATCTTTCACGCAGAGAAATCATCCCGAGGGATGGATTTACATTTCCGCGAACGAATGAACTACACACCTGGGAAGTTAGATGCGGACTCGTAATAGAATCCTTTTTTATGCAGAGATAAGTCTACAATCTACAACATAACATAGTCAATTAACTAATATTTGGAAATAAATGTCTTCAAAGTCCGCTTTCTTTATTAAAGTACCTAACGTTAAAATTATTGGACTTGATCCTTTAACCACTATCTAATTGGTACATCCTTTACAGTTGATAATGCTATTGTAACGAGAGGCCTGTCTTTAGGTAATCTACTGTTTACTTGTTGTTAATTACTTATTATACATACTGACAAACTGTTTTTGGAAATTAAATTGTTAAAAAATATTTCTATTAATTATGCACACACGTTTAATAACTTGATGTGCAACAAGCAACATGTCTCAATCCTTTCATTCTACTTCCAGGGTCAGTATGACTTAGAGTGCAATTATAACCAAGTACATGGTCATAATAAATTCTTGTAACGTTTATTAGAAAGGTAAATTACTTAATCATCGAACGGCACAGGAAATACCGCAAGTATACATGTTACATTCAAAACATTTACCAAAATTATATATTTATTAAATATTTACTTAGTTTCTGTTCAAATATTAAAATGTTTTAAGCAAAATATTTAAAATAAAAAGAATTTCTTGTTGGTTCGAGGACAAGTAACAACATTGTTTTTTTTTTGCAAGTATATCTTTTCAGATATTTTTACAAGTCGGATTGTAAATCTATATGCCTAAGTAGAAGTACCGTAACTAATTTTAGAGAACGTAACGAAATATGTAAAGGCAGAGACAATATTTACATTAAATATCATGTGTTTTGAGGATGGCATCACGTCACAGCCTTATGTTTATCGCAATGGAAAGATTTGCGTGAAGGTCAAATCCTACCTGAAATACATATTTCTAAATAACATTTCAATTCATTAACAAGTGTTATTAGTATTATGTTGTCATTGATTTCCTTTAATGTTATCGTACTTTGTACTTCTGGAATTTTAGAGACTAATCTTTAACTAGTTAAAACATTGTTTTAACGATATTTAAAAGTCTCCATGTAGAAGTTTATACATGCAAAATGGAATCAAGTGTCTTTTTACAGACGAGGCCCTTCAAAATAAACTACAGTAAAATCAAAGACAAAGCATGCTACTTGATTTTAATGAACTACGTGTTCCCATATCAATGCTTAAATATAAAAATATTTTCAGTTATATTTAACAGGCAGAGCTTGTACTATCTAGAGGTCTAAAACATCATATAATATATGTTGAGTAAACATCACTACACAAAAACCCACAGTTAAACCACGATATTAAATGAATTGAAGCGGTACACGGCGGTGTTTCGTCTCACGGTCTCATGTCTCCCGTCTGTAATAAACAGCGTCAATTTCATTTCATTTCCTGAGCGCTTCGCTCGCTCGCTCCCTGGTATCCGAGCTCCCAGCACGACCCACTCGGTGAATTATTGGATTAATAAGACAACACTTAGAGGACGAATACGCCCGTATGGTTCAATCATGTGGGCATTGAAGAAACTTTAAATACTTTGAGGTAACAATAACTAATCTCTTACAGTACTGTGCTCAAAGTGACTTAGAAACAAATTAGCGACAATTTTCTCTTCATCAAATATCAAATCAACAGAAAAATATATCATCGACCGAAGCTTTTTACATTCCGTTATCTCCTACCGGTTATAGTCTAGACGACAAGAATATTTTTTGTGATAGAAAAACATGGTCACATTAACCTTATACGGACTAGTTACTAGTAAATAAAGTGGTGTAATTGGGGACTTCCCGTATTATTACCGTTCTCACAACGTCACTGTAATAATTAAAATCCTGTCTGATATTAATTTACTTTAGAAAAGCTTTAATTGTAATAGAATAATTAGTTGGTTGTGGAAATAAAAAGTTGGAGGGCGCGGCCTTCCCGACAATACTGCTTATACGCACTAATCCATCCCTATAAGCAATATACTTTCATATTCGCTTATACTACCAGAGCTTCGAGCTTTAATTCCCAAATTGGCATTGGCGGCAATGTATTCAGGATAAGTCCTGAATATATCTATTAAATACACAATCAACTTAAACTTAACAACTTAAACTAAATTACCTAGTCTAATCAATCTCAATGGAAGAACAAGAACAGTAGTGGTCGTCATATAGTGTTCAGATATTTCTGACATTCTAATATAATTTCTACTTACTGATATATTAAGGCATTTTATTATATATTTGTCAAGTAAAAATCTTGACGGCATTAACTTGTATTTAATGTAAATTCAACCAAGATTTCTTACTTACTAAAATAACTTAAAATACCTTAAATAAATCATACTAGGTATATCACTTTGTATGAAGTAATTCAATAGTAACTAGTTGAACTAATTCAATAACCATATCATAATTAAAGAGGGTCCACAAACAGGACTGGCTTATCAATGTACTGTACATTCGTTCATGAGCATACACAACTTAAAGGAATTATTGGATAGCATTTTGTTCGTTTTGATACTTATATTTACTCAATAATTTTCAATTAAATTTCATAAACATTTACTAACTATTTTAGATACTATGAAAATATGATTAGAATTGAATAATTAAAATATAAAAATACATACTTTTGACTCTTTCCTCGTGCCATTTTTTTAAATTTTAACACAAATTAATCAGAAGAGCACCGGCCCCAAAAAATTTAAAAATGTTAAAAAATCACACTGAACTCCAAACACCAATAGTTCGAAAAGAATAAATTTTCGAAAAATAAATTATATTGGCGGCAATTTATCACATGACCATGTTTCCCGCGAGGTGCGTATCGCCACTCTCTGAGATCTCGACTCTGTCCGGACACGGCAAGCGCCCTACTTCGGCGTAACCAGTCTTTCGCGTGAGACAGAGATTACCAATTATACTCAATACAGTAAGTATCCGTTAGAAAGGGACAAAGTGTTTTTCGGCATAATCTATTTTCTGACTAATATAACTTTATTTTATTTTTGCTTTGTATGCATGTGCAATATGCAATATTCGTGATCCAAAGAAGTATAAGTTTTAGTAGTTTCACAGGAAGTCGTTAATTTTGAACATCGTACTTCTAGCGCTATCTACCGACGAACTGTGAAACTACGTTAATAGTTCTGTCGATCCAAGTGCTTTCCACTCGCATGGGCACATTGCGCGCTATTGAAAGTGAACTGAAGATAAGTAAGTTTAACTAATCTACATTTACCGATAGGTGTCAGCATAGTGATAATCTTTTTTTATAGATTTAAAAGTGGACGTTTTCTGTGGCAATTAATTTAATAATAATAATTATGCTTTATTTCAGAATAGCTTTCATATAATGTTGTTTACAACACTCACAATTTAACATATTATTATTTCTTTAACATTAATTTTAGTTACAACTATCTATGTAGATATCTGTAACCATTTTATAAACATGGAATTGCTATACACCCAGTCAGTAAGTTCTTTAATTATAATGTACCTACCTATACTTATCAACCCGGGCCATGAACACTGCGATTCGGTTTCTTTCGATGGTATTGAACGTGTTCAGTCTCTGCAGACATTGTGCAGTAAGGTGCTGGCTCTATAAGGAAAATGTAGAAATTCTGACATATTCTGAATAATAATTCTGAATTTCTGAATAGGTGTACATTAGTCTGCACATCGGTATTAAGAAATCTCCTGGCCATCATATTGCCAACGCCTCGACGCTGGCGGTGTATGTCATCGTCATCTCTCATGTCTGACATTGGTATGTGACCAACGTACTTGAACCTCCCCACCACGTTAATTATCTAGCCTCCTATCCATACTGGAGGAACGTTCTGAGAAAATCTTCCCGACCTGAATACCATCATTTCAGTCTTTTTTGCATTGTACACTAAGTCATGCTTTGAGCGTATTTCTCACATATAGCCAGCAGTCTTCTTAAGCTCTTGATCGATGAGCCAAACAGAACCATATCATCCACATAACTTAAGTTGTTGACGTATTTGTCACCAAGTCTGAGCCCTACCGGAGTCCTGCTTAGCTCCCCTATCAGGTCATTGATATATAGATTAAACAGGTCAGGAGAGGTCAACCCTCCCTGTCTAACACCACATGATAGCCTGTAGCTGTCCAATATGGCAGTCCCCCACCTGACACTATTAGAATGATTAGAGTACCTACCACATTTAAGTTACACATGGTAATTCTGATGTTATAGACGTAATTATACAAGTAAAGGGGGCACTACAAATTTTCTTGAATCAAAATGCGGTTACTGACCATAATTTCATGTTGTAGTTTCAAGTTGTAACTCCTTAATTAAAATATAAAATTTATCTTTATTCTACATTCTTCTTCTTCTTTATCTGGTTACTACCAAGGTAGCTTGTTTTCATGGATGATGGTGATCTATCGTGGACTTTCTTGACTATCGTAGAAGTACCTAGTTTGTAGGGTAAGGTAACTGTAACAGCGCTAATAAAACAATTTAATGAGGATTTTGTTTAGCATTCGTTTTTAATTAAATGACAATGGCAGGCATGTGAGAGGCTTTTGTACCACCTTGCGTATCAATAGTATCCCTACCATGGTAGGAAATATTGTTTTATTTATTTGGTTGGTAATATCATTAACAATTACAGTTTTAAATTTCAGATTTTTAAAAGTTTGCGTTCAAAAGTGATTGCAAAAGTTAAGGTCAATAAGGAAGTAAATATATAATGTATTCTTAGGTCAATGGTTAAGGTAGGTACCATAGTATCCCCGAAGGTGGTGCCCGCGCCGTTGCGGGCAGGCGCTAGGAGGGGTCCGGATGTCTTAATAACAGCAGTTCCCGGATCTCTCCTATTACAGGCGCAGAGTGGCACACCGTGTGGTTTTAGTCGGTCCGATTCCGACACACCACCCTGCCGCAAACCCCGGTGGGGTGACGGCCCGAGGGGGTTTTCACACGTAAAAAAAAAGGTACCATAGTATTAAAATCTCGTATATACACTAATTGTATCCCGTAAACCTTTCTACTGTCAACGTTTCTAAATAGCGAGGCATTGTTCTTGTCATATTATTACTACAGAAATACATAAAAGGCTTGCACCTAACATTGCTCCAGACAAAAGTATAAGAAGAACTATTAGTCCATTTCCTTAAACTAATTGATTTAAAATAATTTATTCCTTTAATACTACAATCAACCTTAGTAATATAAAATGATATTTTAGCTGCCAAATACCTACACTAGTGAGTTAATTTTTTAATATCGATCTTAAACATATTGTATTTTATGGCATAGTTCAGTAAACGTAATGAATGTGTATTGTTGACAACACTTGAACGTTTAGTTATTGCAGTTGTAACAATTTTTAGAGAAAAAATTATTTACTTTTAAAAAAGTTCTAAAAACATGATAATTACATGAAAATAGGATGATCCTCTTTACAAACAGTACAAATCTCAAAACCATTCACCACATAATACTAGGTGTATATGATCTGCCATTCTTCTTTATAAGATACACCTACTAAATATTGTAAGACTGTACCCCACACAAAGGCAGATGTGGCATGCTCAATGGTACTTTCCTATGGTAGGTTTAAGTTTAACATGGAGAAAGAAGTGTTTTAGCAACAAATAATAAAAATGAAATAATAATATTTGAAATTAAATATGGAATTTTTATCATCGCTCTACTTACTTTAACACTTAATAAATGATAAGGTTATTATATACGTCTTTCTTTTATAAACTTTAATACTGTAAAAAATTACAAATCAATAACTTTACCTAATTATTTCCTAAAAACTTATCGTTTTGTTTTTATTTTCATCCCAGATATAAAGATTCACAGATATAAAGTGGACAATAAATATTAACCATTGAATTTTGGCGCAGACAGCGATCCACCAGCGACCTTATCTATGCTGTAATGTGCATTTACATAAAGACATTTGAAAAATACTTACATAGCCTAGCTATTCTACTTTATTCCTTGATGGCTTTAACAGACTTACGTAGGTATCTTAATTATAAACACAGTAACCGTTAATGATAAATACTCTTTAAAGATTAAAGTATGCTATTCAATTTACGATTTACAATAGGTACCTATTAAATCGTGATCGTGCGATAACAATAGCAAACTGAACGTTTAAAACAATCTATACCAATATTAAAAAGAAGTAAAGTTTGTGAATTTGTATGTACGGGGTAATCTCCAGCACTACTGATCCGATTTTGAAAATTCTTTCACTGTTAGAAAGGTATATTATCCCTAAGTGCTAAAGACTACTTTTTTCCGCGTACTGACATACATGCGGGCGGAGCAGCGGACAAAAGCTGGTATTTAATAATCTTCAAAGTTTTTAATTGAGATATTTCAGTTACGACTAAGATATCTCAATTAATCCGATGGGCCGGATACGGTACCGGTCTAACTAAAGCTCGGAGAAAACTAATATTATAAAAAAGCAGCAAAATGTGCCTTGTAACTTCTATTTAGGTACTTGAGCGACCTTACAGTTTTAGTTTACAAACTTAACCTAGTAATACCATATTATTGTAGCTATATGGTTGACTGGTTAGTAATATTATTGAAATATCAAAGTTAGTTGGTGAATTGCATATTGCATAATAAAAAGTATTTATAATGTCGGTTACATATCTCCTCTTTTATCTTTACCTATTGTTAGACAGTTTCTAACAATCACAGTACACACATATCCAACAAACAGTCTCAGTTATAATGAGATAGGGTTTGTTCTAAAACTAGTCCAATAATAAATAGTTCAGTTAAGTAAACTTGTGATATTATCGATCCTGATAATAATAGTGTTATGGTAATTATGGCGATAGCTAACAAGCACTAACAAGTTACTAAAAAGTCGAAATGAGAAACCAACCGTTTTCAGTCGTTGTATGGAAAACAGTTATTTAGATTATGCCAGCTACAAGTTCATCTACTAGAATTTCAAATACTTACATGATGATTTCATCATTATTAAAAAGAAGCAAGCAAGAAGTATTCCAATTGACCTGTTTGAGGTATTACTTGCATTCCCGAATCCCGATAATTTAATTATATATAATAGTTATAAGTAAAAGTAAAAGTCCGCGTGGTGACGGATTAAGAATACGGAGAGTCACCATCCCTATTCATTCCGTGGGTGTCATAAGAGCCGACTAAGGGAGCAAACTACGGAGGATAACAGCACTGCAAAGAGAAGGAAAACATACCAACCCGTCTGGCCAGTATTTTAAAGTAGGCCAAATCCTCCTTTCTAAGGAGAGGCCTATGTCCAGCAGTGGACTATTAAAGGCTGTTGATGATAATGATGATAATTAAATATGAGCAGTATATGAATTCCCTTGTTATCTACTTTTAGATAAACTCCCCATCGAATGTCGAAAGACCGATGAAAATTACATATAACAGACCAATGACTTGTCCTCTGTTACGTCAGTGCTGCCTACTCTTTCGGGACTAAATGTGTGAATTTTTGGTGTGTTCATTTTATTTTACCTTTCTGTTGGCGTAATAAAAACGTATCATCCTAAAATACAGACAGCTTTGAAGTGCTTAAAAACTAACATTTAAAAGACGCACACAAGAAAAGGAGAAAGTTTGTGGATGCTTACACTTGGCATTACAAATTGTCAACCCACATGTTTTATGCTAAGATTACAAACAACCCTAGCATAAATCATCCAGATCTCAAAACTTTCGTAAGTAGTATTATTAATGATAAACGGTGTAATGTGTGGCACCATAACATCAATGCTTCACTTCTTGACAAAGGCCCCCCATCGGGTCCAAAACTAGGCAGACCACCCCTAAAGTATCATCATCATCATCAACGACAACAGCCTTTGATAGTCCATTGCTACATGTAGACCTCTCCTTAGAAAGGAGGTTTAGGCCTACAACACCACGTCGCATCACCGGCCAGACGGGTTGGTAAAGGGATTGTGTTAAGTTTTCCTTCTCTTTCCAGTGTTGTTGTCTGCCCTTAGTCTGCTCACTAGCAAATATACGTAAGTAAAACTTTATATAAAAAAGAAATATTTTATGCAAAAATACCTTGAGACAAAAATCTTTGAAATCAATAGATACTTACACTTTTATTTTCTTCCCCTCAGCCTGCGAGATGGTAGCTGGTGGCGGCGGCAGGTCGTCCATAGGCACCTCCTCGTTAGGCGGCGATGGCGGTGATTTATCGAACTCCGCTATAGGGGCCAGCTCCGGCATTGGAGACACCGAGTTACTGTCCATAGCCGACAACTTTATGGGAGACACTTTGGCTATTTTGCGTACCTCTTCACACCCCCGGTAAGCCGGAGGAGAAATTTACACAAAAGTTTTCAGAAGCCCGCGCGAGTGATCTGAATTTCCAAGATTTCACTGAACAGTTCACAGTTTTTTAACCAAGCTCACTGCCGTGTGACGTTACCGTGTATTGCTTCTAGAACGAGTGATGCAGCGCACAAGTTTCCGAACAAAATGTCGGCAACTACCGTCGTCAAATTGTGAACCTGAAACGATTAAACATCTATTTATTATTTAATTTTATACACTGAGTTACTGGTAAAGCTGAATGTACTTTAACGTAGTTGACCGGCGCAATATAGGAAATTTAAAGAAGTTTTAATTTTGACATACAAAGGCGGTAAACGAAGATAGGAAGCGCGAAGGGCAATGTCCCGTTCCCTTTATTATTTTACATACGCTTGACGTGACGCCACGGAAGGGACTGACACAAACCCCACATATGATGTTCCTGGTGTTTATCCTATAAACGGCACGTTGACCACTACTCAAAATGGAACCGAAATAGATTCACACAAATATTATCGTATTTTATGTCTCAACTTTGAGCTAGTAATGACCGATAATATAACCGTTTAACTTATATTAACGACTTTACACAATATATTTACACGTTTTCTTTAAACTGAAACAATTACCTCTATTTTCCATGTATAAAATGTGTATGACTGTGACATCTTCATGTACTCACTAAATATATTAGAATTGGTTGAAACACTTTGCAAATAGTAACATTTCTTAAAATTTCTCCGTGCATAATCAACGTCATATGGTTTAATGTATCGAAACGCATGCATTACTATTAATCAAGTAACTATAAAATAGTTTCTTCGTCAATTTTAAAAGTAATCTAAGGTTAACACTGAAAAATAAAAGTAATTTATTAATCTACAAATCCGGTATATATTTGAATAGAGAGATAATATCATGTTAAATAGAAAGTTTACAAAAACTACTCTAGTAATGAAGTAATACATTTTTCTACAGTTACAGTTGGCTGGTGACAGTTAAGATTTTTCAACCAGTACGATATACTATCGCCCACGTATTGTAAATTTTTGAGTGAGATTGGTGAACAATGACGTCACAGGTCGTTACTTTATATTACTTATACATTTTAATGATCAAATAAACTGATCGTTTGTGTAACGGTCAACATATGTATTATTAAAGAATGTTTCATTGTATAATTTATAAGTATGTTCAATTGCAACACAGCTTTATTCTTTCGTGTTTCAGGAAAGGAGAGCAAGAATTCGAGAGACTAAAGGTCTTTTAACTGACTAAAATAGAGTAGAGAGTAAATATGTTAGAAATTGTTAAATGAGACTGAAATAATTGTTTTTAAATATTATTGAATGTGATTTGCTTTTATACGTGTACACTATGTAGTATTTTTATTTCCTCTATTAATCTGTTGTGCTTTTTTTACTATTTAGTAATGATCAGTTCAAAACTCTAAGTCAAGCGATCGCTGATATACAGGTTTATCCAAGTTCATTTATACAGCGATTAAGGTTTTTGATCTGAATTTTATTATATACCTTTATGTTTAAAAAAAATGGGTGAATGTAATAGTATTACCTTAGTTTTACACTGGTGTTTCTTAAGGATTAACGGAACTAATGTTTAATATCTATTTTCTATCTATCTTGTCTGGATTTAATTTATCTATAATATGTATGTATTTAAAAATATATAGGTATGTTTATCAGCAGGCACAGTACAGGCTCTGCCTAGTTTGGGATCAGACAGCCGTGTGTGAAATGTGTGATACATATATTATTATATATATTTTAAATAAAAATGTCCTACACTGTAACATAACATTGGCCAAATCATCATCATCAGGCTATCGCAGTCCACTGCTGGACATAGGCCTCTCCCATTGCACGCCACTTAGATCGGGCTTCTCGCATCCAGCTCCTGCCAGCCATCTTGCGCAAATCGTCACTCCACCTGGCCCATGGGCGTCCTACACTACGTTTGCCTAAACGCGGTCTCCACTCAAGAACTCGTTTTCCCCAACGGTTGTCGGTTCTGCGGTCAAATAAATAAATATGTATAATAATAATTGAAAAAAGATTAATAATGACTAATTCTAATTAGATCTATGAGTCTACATAAAATACGATTTCAAACAATTTAAAAAAATGAAATAAAGATTTTGAGTTTGAATATTTTATTTGTAACAGGTAGCATAGCAACATACAAAAATATATTGAGATTTCCTCTCTGGCTCAGAACTAGTCGGGCATCCTCAAAAAGCCTCATGTGAGAGACAATTCACGGAACTTATTATTCCAATACAAACACATAACTCATATTGATTTTAAAATAATAGTCCTTTTGTCAACCCTTCCGCTCCTTCTGCTATTGCTGTAATTCATTGACGGCGCGGCGACAATTGATGAACTTGTACCTTCGACACTTTGATCGCGGGGTCAATAGCTTATTCGTAGTTAAATATTAATCGTGTATACAATAATAAAGGAAACGCACTTCTGACTCTTGAGTAGCGGTTGTATTTTGGGAGGTAGTCACTTACTTAGGTGATCAGTCAGCTCGATTGCCTCTGTCATAAAAGGAATTGTAAATCTCACATACACAACGACTTTTCAATTTCATTAAATCAAGCTTGTGAAGACAAGCAACAGGTAATCTGACTAAAGACTAATTATATATACACTAACAAAAATATTTAAATATGTAATTTAAGTGTGAACAAAAGGTCAGGCAGGTATCATTAGATAGACCTTTCAAGAGCATTGAGGGAGTGTTAAGACTATTTTTCAATTCAGTGATCCCTTTGCGCAATATTGGGCTTCAGATACAGGGCTAATTTTCTTTAGAGTTCAGTGACCCCTTCATCCCCTGTGAGCACTTGAAAAATGTAAAAAAAATCATAATGGTATAATTTATGATGATTTTAGAAGAAATACGGCTAACTTAACTCTTTTAGGTTTAGAGTAATAGTGGCCCAACTTATTAAATATATTAAACTTTGCGAATTGCATGCAAATAAAAAAATATTAAATAAGACTACTTAGTTAAACTTGTTAATTGTTTGAAAGGAGTAGTAATAAACTTCACTATGCATGGCCCGACGCGAGCTTGGCTGGGTTTCATATCTATATTAACTACAAGACTCTTACCTACACGATTGACGTTAAATACAGGATATATACACGGGCCCAGGCAATCGCTAAATGCACTCAAAACGTAACGAAGTGACAGGTTTATAAACAATAATGTGGGAAAATGCAATTATAATATTTTTAATGGAGACGCCATTCTCATTTTACTTTGCTATAAAAATTGTACATAAAAGTTTTACGTTCGATCTACCTACGTCTAAAAAGAAATGTAGTATTGGAGGTAAACCATCATTTATCCCGGCTTACTCCCAGCACACGGGCGGCTTTGAAAAAACAATGTGTTCACGGCAACAGAAACGAATCACTCTCGTAAAGTTGAACCATCGGGGAATGCATTGTGTTTGATTGTTTGTCGTATGGTCATAGGAATGATTCGGGCCTAATATAAAAAATATCACCACTACATATGGTCGTATCTATACAAAATAACAAAATGTTGCAGGTACTTCATGCACTTAAAGTATTGACATAAACTTAAATTAAAATAAGCCGTTTTGCTTATTTACAATTAGACGTATTTTATGACATGCCGTAAAACATAGAGCGATTTATAAATCTTTCATGAATGGCTGAAACGGGCGTACTCGGAAAAGCTCTTTGTCTTTCTTCTTTTAAGGGCTTATTTCTACTCAGTATCAAAATTAATTTGCCATGATATGCAACACATGTGTATCATAATATGAACATTCACAAAATCTAGGATGTGAACAAACAACTCTCGGAATCGGAAAACAGATCGAATACAAACAAAATTATCTCTTTTACGCATATATAATAAGTCCAAACATATATATAAAATGTTGCGCATATCACTTTAATAAATAATTATGTAAAAACTACGTGCCTAGGTATAATTTGTGTTCACAAAAGAAAACAAGTCAATAGGTTTTTGTTTTATTCTATTATGAAATAAAATATCTTAATATTATTATTCTCAGCAAAAAATACATTCTTGGCTTACGGAAATATATGCCGTACACGTTTTCCTGTAAGAGCGCTTCAAGTACTTGATGTTATAAAGTTTCTAAAGCAACCGCAATTTCTCTCAAGTACACTGCCAACTAAGTGCCACAATTTCTGTTATTGTTCCATACCGCTAGTGATGAAGCTAAGCGTAGAACTCAATGCTATACAAAAACAATGCAAAATATATGACTACAGCAATTACCTACTCTCCGTTACAATTTATAATACCAATAAGCTGAGTGAAATTTGTAAAGAAATTGTGTTTATTGTGATCATTTAAAGTTACGCAAACACTGATAATAGTGGTAGACCAGTTTGGAAAAATCCGTGACTATTTCTTTCGTTATACCTACTACAAATACTAAGTAACAAGTCTTTGTTTTGTTACTAGTTACGAATATATTTTATATATGTTTGCTTTAAAAAGATAAAGTTTTTATTGAAGGTATATTCCAAAAAACACTATAATGATGTATTTAACTACACGGTTCCGTGGGTACTGTTGAATTATACTCTTTCCTTAGATCTTCAAGTTATAGAATGGTTTTGCATAATTACTTATACAAAAGTGTCGACAACTTTAACGTGCCTATAAAATTGTACACTGTAGCCATGCCTTAATCAAATAGCCTTAATAGTAGTTCTTGAATTACGAACCTTCTCGTTTATGAAGTCTATTAAAAAGTGTACGTTTTGACAATTTTATAAAATGCTCGGATACTATGGTCACTGCTTATCACTTAGTGATTTTAAAGTTATTCACGTTCGTTTTCCTAGAGGGGCATCCTAAAACTATCTTATCAGGGTTTTAAAAAACCTGTGTGCCTATGGGATGAAATTCGACTCCCATTTATTAAAGTATCAATGACAATAAATCTACTTACATAATGATTTCTCTCTTTATAATATATAACAACTAAAACTTGTTTATAATAAAAAAAATACTTAAGAAAAAAATCGGTAAATAATAAGCTGTGAAAAAAGGTGGTGAACTATTTTGTCGTTACCTAATGTAAAATAATATTGAAAGCATTGAAGATCTATGCCCTTATCTATATTTCTATGCCTATATCTAGAACCCT